TTTATACAGTATATTTTATCCCACCTCTGAGACCTGCCCTCGTAAAATCACTCACTAGTAATAAAGATTGTTCCGGCACTAGCGTATCTAAATATACAAAAGTCACATTTAATGTAAAACTCTGGAAATTAAGTTTGAGATTGTTGGAATCCAAAGTCATGCATAAATTACCTACTCAGGAAAGATGAATTTAAGCAAATTCGTTTTTACAGCTTTTTAAAAGGCTTGCAGTGAATCTGAAAAGTACTAAGGTGGTTCTGTGATTCCAGGCCCACCACTGAGAAACCTTACGTTTAACTATCTAGCTGTGCTAATTGGTGAGCATATGACCAAGGATCCTGACAGTGATCTGAAGCATATAGGCAGGATCTTATGGGTGAAGTGGGTCCATCAGGAAGGTCTTTAGGAACAAATTCAGACCATTCAAGATTTTAAAAGTAATTTTGAAATTCACTTGAAGAAATAAAGTCGTTGATTTTTTCTGGTGCTTGCTGATCCCTTTGTCTGCACTCTCTTGCACCAACACCAGGGAAAGTGAGGTTTTTGGGGTTTTTTTGCTGTTGCAAGTACAAGGAATAAGATGAACAGGAGGAAGATGTGGAGCAGCAGGCCCCAAATTGTACCTTCCAGATGTGTTGATTTCAATGAAGGCTAAACTAGCAGGACATTAAGGAAGCTGAATATATCTAGAAAACATCACCCTGGGAAATGATGAGCAGAAAAGATGAGTGAATCACTTTATATCAGGGCTTGTTTCTCTTGCTTTATTGTTTTTTTTTTTTTTTAAACTCATTTGGCTGTGACATGGCAAGCAAACTAGAACTAGTTTGTTCAGCTGAATATATCTAGAAAACATCACCCTGGGAAATGATGAGCAGAAAAGATGAGTGAATCACTTTATATCAGGGCTTGTTTCTCTTGCTTTATTGTTTTTTTTTTTTTTTAAACTCATTTGGCTGTGACATGGCAAGCAAACTAGAACTAGTTTGTTCGGTTTTTGTGCAAGGTTTTCTATTATAGGCTTTCAAAGATACAATTCTCCGCCAACATTCTGAAATAATATAGTATTGTGAGATTTCTGCAATGTACTTTTTCTTAATGTCTATTTTATATTGGTGTTTATTGTTTACTTGTATGTTTCCCTGGTCATTTTAAATCATAAAAGCAAAATAAATAATAAAATGTGCAGGTCTGCCAAGTTTACAGCATAGAATTATTGTATATGGAATATACAATGTATTACCATATACAGTAATTATTCTAGATAACATGGGTTGGTGGGATACACAGATGTCACTTGGTGACAGTTACTCAGAAGAGCAATACTGCTTATGGACTTGTTTATCTTCGGTCAACTGTTGCCATGGCTGACTCCCAACTAGTCACTACTATTGCATCTATCTATCTATCTATCTATCTATCTATCTATCTATCTATCTATCTATCTATCTATCTATCTTCCTTCCTTCCTTCCTTCCTTCCTTCCTTCCTTCCCACCC